ACTCTGGCCAGGAGGTAGAAGCTATGACTGACCCCTGGCACAATCAGCCCTGGCAACCCCCTCTACAGCGGAGCCTGGGCAGAGTTATCAGGAGAAGGGAGGAGCTGGGCGCGCGATAGCACACAGGTGCCCTTTCAGCCCTCAGGGAGGTAGGCTTCCTGGGCTCGGGAAGAGCGAGGCCTAGTGAGCAAGGTGGTGGGGAAGAGGAGGAGGGGAGCCTCAGCAAGAATGAGGGCACAACTCGATGGACAACCAAACTTGCCAGAAGCGTGAATTAGCCACACTCTGTCCTGGTGTCCTCCTTTATGTCCCTGGGGTTCCTGGAACTCCGTTGCAAATCACAGTCATGAACAGGCCAAATCAAATTGTCCCTGGGATGCAGTAGCAACAAAGGGGAGCCACAGGGTCCCCAGAGAAGCCTGTCTTTGCTCTTACGCAGGGCAGGATGAGCAGCCAGTGAAATGAACAGGGCCCCACTGTCAGGAGCCAAAGGATTGTTTAGGAAATTGACCATCGCCTCTTCCTCCCTCCCGCCCCCGCCACAACCTGACCCTCTGCTGGAGCCTAGGACAGGCCCCAGTGGAGCAAGGACAACTCACCCATTCATCCAATAAACATTTATCGTGTCCTTACTACATGCCATGCCCCAGGCTAGGCACGGGGGACACAAAAATGAAAAGATGTAGTCCTTGTCCTCAAACAGCTTGTAGTTTAAGAGGAGAGAGCCACAAAAACACAGAATACCAGCCCAGACAGAAAAGTGTTATTGTGGCAGGAGGTGAGGGCAGACATCCCAGCAGGAGGACTGACGGCAACCTGAGTCGGCTGGGGGTTACTTGGGAAGCTCACTGGAGGAAGTGACATCTGAACTGGGTATTGAGGGACAAACCAAAGCTGGGGAGGGAGTGGAGATGTGAAAGGCGTGATGAATGTGAGGGCAGAGGTGACAACAGCTGGAGCCCAGAGGGAGCTTTGAGAGCTGAGACTGCAGAGTCGGCAGAGGTCAGATCTAGAAGGTCTGTGAAAAGAGTTTGGATTTGTTCTAAAGGCAGTGGGGAGCCCGGGAAGGGTCTGAGCGGAGGAGTGTCTCAGTCAAATTTAGGTTTTAAAAAGCTCCCTCTATCTTCTGCATGGAGTCTGGATTAGAAGGTGCTGGAGGCAGAAAGACCGAGCAGGAGGCCATTGCGATTGTCCAGGAGAGAGATGCTGTGGCTTGAACGGAGGCCAAGGCTGCGAGAAGAGAGAGAGGATGAGAGAAGTTCAGGAGATGAGATCATCGAGACTTGGTGACTGGTTAGCTGTGGGAGTGAGCGAGAGGGATGAAGCAAGGATGATGGCCTGGTTTCTCTCTAGAGTGACTGAGTGGAAAGTGATGTCACCAGCCCATTAGAGAAATGAAGGGAGGTGCAGGTTGAGAGGGTGACACTGGGTTGCATTGTGACAGTGTTGGGTTGGACGTGCAGGGGAAGGGCTGGGGCAGTCCATGTCTGCTGTGCAGATGCTCGAGCAGATCTGGTCCATGAGAGACAGATGCGAGCAGGCGAGAGAGATTTGTCAGTCATCAGCATCAGATGGCACCTGAAGTCTCCAGGGGGAATTACATTCCCCAGGGAGAGGAGGAGAGGACAAAGGCCAGAGCCATGAGCATCACAAACCACTGAGAGGTCATGAGGGACCGGGGACAGAGACCGAACAGGTGGGAGGGAAGCCGAGCCTTGGAAGCCAAGGGGAAAGAGAGTCTCAAGAGGAGGAGGGGAAAAGGAGAGGAGAGCAGCAAGGTCAAGTGCTGGCAAAGGACAAGAGAGATTAGAATGGAAAATGGACCTTGGATTTAGCAACAAAGAGGTCGCTGGGACATTGGCAAGAGTCCCTTCAGAGGACTGTGGGGGCAGGAACCAGGCTAGGGGGTTGGGAGGTGAGGGGGCAGGGAGAACTCAGCGGCAGTCAGTGGAGATGACTTCAGATTTGGGCCGTAAAAGGGAAGAAAAAGCCTGGGTGGGGGCGGGGGTTGTTAGAGACGATAGCCACTTGGGGAAATTTTGGTGCTGAGAGAGAGGACGGGGCTGGCGGTGGGCATGAGCTTCCAGGAAAGAGGAGAGGCGAGAGGAGGGGCAGCTTCTCCAGGGACTGGGAGGAAGGGGAAAGGACAGGTGTGAGGGTTGAAGCAGATGCCCCCGCCCCCTCCTCAAGTGGAGGGGAGGACCAAGGAGCATGGTGGGAGCCGGCCAGAGCTGTGGTTGGGGAGGGGAGGCGGCCGAGCTCAGGTTGTGATTGGAGAATGACCTTGCGGTGACCTTGACTGTTGCCATGGGTGTTGTGGACGTGGTGGTTGTTTCTAACAGAAGCCCAGAGCAGCTGGGAGGCAGGTGTGCAGCAGACAAATTGGAGGTGCCCAAGTTCATGGTCTTACAGGCGGGGGGCACGGACAGGACTCAGACTGGGATTGGCAAAGTTCCAAGGATATTGAAGCTGTTAGGGGGAAAATGTGAGGAAAAATGATGCAGGAGGCAGACAAAAATGGGAATATGCCCTGGACTAAGTTTCAGGGCCCTAAAATATCAGTTTGCAAACATAGAAATGTATTATCTAAAATAAAATGGACAGGAAACACGAAGAGATAATTCACAAAAGAAGAAACCCAACTGGTCAACAAGCGTATGGGAATGGATTCAAGCTCATTCATATTCAGAGAAAAGAAAGTTTAAATAAGGTAATGTCATTTGCCTAGAAAATTAGCCGATCTTAAAAAATGAGAACACCTAGTGGCAGTGAAGTGGCAGAAAATGCTCATACACACATAGCGTCGGTGAGGGCGCCCTGAGCAAATGGCATGGCCTCTCTGAGCCTCAGGTTGCTCATCTGTAAAGCAGGGTGATAAAGATACTCACCTCATAGAATTTTGTGAGATACCAGGTTCACAAAGGAAGCGTCTCAAAAACAGGAATAACAGGGGCTGGCCCAGTGGCGCAATGGTTAAGTGCACACCTTCCGCTTCAGCGGCCCAGGGTTCGCTGGGTCGCATCCCGGGTGCGGACATGGCACCGTTTGGCATGCCATGCTGTGGTAGGCGTCCCACATAGAAAGTAGAGGAAGATGGGCATGGATGTTAGCTCAGGGCCAGTCTTCCTCAGCAAAAAGAGGAGGCTTGGCAGTGGATGTTAGCTCAAGGCTAATCTTCCTCAAAAAAAACACCCCAGGAATAACAGCCATTACTGTGGTGGTCTGGATTTGATTGAACCTGTTTTTCTTCCTGCTGGATGATCTCTAGCCCAGACCCAGGACCCTCACAGGCAGTGACCCAGTGCAGGGACACCCTCTGCCAGTCTCTTCCCAGTTTGTCTTAGGATTTAAAAGTAGGAGGGCAGAAGAAAGGGAGGAGGGCACAGGATTCCAACTGGGGCTGCCCACGGGGCGTGATGGAGCATCCTCTAAAGATGAGACTCTCAAACGGCCCCAACAGAGCCCAAGGGTTACGCCTGGCAGGGACAGTGGGAGAGAGCATGGCCCTTGAATTAGACCAACCTGAATTCAAGTCCTCCTCCGCTGGGCGCTAGCTGTATGACATTGGGCTGGCTGCCGCACCTCTCAGAGTCTTGATTTTTCATCTGCAACATGGCGAGGATAATACCTAACTCCTTAGATGGTGGAGAGGATTAAGGGTGAGCAGGTACATCACCCCCAGCAACTGAGTGAATCCATAAATCAGTCCATTTGCTCGGCTTTAAGATGAGGCTGATTGTGTGTGTGCCACCGCTCCACCTCGACGGGAAGGGCTTTTGTGAGAAGGACGAGTTGAGTTAGAATGACAGTGAAATGTGATAAAAGGTCAGATAAGTTTTGGGGGTGGTTGGATGATTCAGCAGTGGGAGAGAAGAGCTGGGAGAGTATGTACTCTGCAGACTGGACGAGGCGCGTAGCATGGTGCCCGGCACGAAGGAAGCATCTCGTGAACGTGGTAACAGTAAGAAATATAGTCAGAAGTAACAAGCGGTACTGAGAAACTGGAAGAGGTGTGTGATGGCTGGAACAGCTGGAACAAGATAAGGGCCGTCAAGGTGCTGAAAGCGATCCCTTTGACATCACTTCCCCCCAGCAGAGGGACCCACGGGAAATGCGGGACTTGCCCTGCTGAGGGGACCAGGGAAGGCCCAAGGGTCTGGGGGCTGGAGCTCATGGGGGCCTGGAAATCAAATCTCTGGGCAGGAAGGGCCTCCAGGAAATCGTAAAGCCAGCCCTGGTCTCCTCCGCAGCCAGCTCTCAGCTGTTCTACAATGTGGCATGCGCACCAGAGTCAACTCTGCAGGGGTTTTTTCCTGTGGAAGATTCGCCTTCGGCTAACACCTGTTGCCAATCTTCCTCTTTTGGTATTTGAGCTGCCGCCACAGCATGGCCATTGACAGAAGAGTAGTGTAGGCCTGCGCCCAGGAACAGAACCAGGGCCACTGAAGTGGAGCATGCCGAACTTAACCACTAGGCCACCAGGGCTGGCCCCAGAGTGGACTTTTATTTGAAGAAAGTTTATTGTAGTCTGAGAGTGTTTAAAAATCACTGACCTAATCCTACACTCTCACTGCAGGTGGGGAAACTGAGGCTGGGAGTGAGGAGAGCCCCACACTTCGGTCAGCCAGGGATGAGATCTGAGCTGCAGATCCTGGCTGGGGTCAAGCTTGTCGCTGTTACCGGGCACCCACTAGTGGGCGAGGCACCTGATGTGGGCCAGGGTCCCACAGGGACGTGCTTGGGTGCTGTTTGGTGTTTTGGACTCCTGGACAGGTGATCAGGGATCAGCTGGGCCAGTTAGAGTCCTGCTGGACTGTGCTGGCAGAGGGCGGCTCCCTCCCCTAAAAACCGGCAAGGAGGCCCCTCCCTGTTGGTGCAAGGTGGGGTCTCTGGGCGGGGTGGGGTCATCACTGGCTTTGTGTCACTCACTGCGGGACGAAGCAGGTTTCACAGAGGGAGTGTCCTAGGGGCCTCCGGAGGACTCATCTCTCTCCAACCCAATATTTATTGATCTTTTATTCCATACTAGGCGTTGTGCCAAATGCTTTTAAGTGTGAATGCATTAAATTGTGTCACAATCCATGAAGTAGGCGCTCCTATTAAAGCCCAGTTTACAAAGGGGGAGACTGAGGCAGGGAGGGGTGAAGTCACTCAGCTGGTGAGGGGTGACGCCAGGATTTGAGCCCACAGGCTGACTTGAGAGCCCCTACTTAAAAAAACAAAAAAACAAAAAAAACAATTTTTTATTACAACAAAAATTGCAGGAATGATGGAGAATTTCTGTATGTTCTTCACCCAGATTCCCCAATTGTTAATATTTTATCACATTTTCTTTATACTCTTCCATCTATCCATCTATCTATCTATCTATCTATCCATCTATCTTGTTCTGAACTATTTGAGAGTAAATTGCAGACAGGATGCCCCTTTCCCTCTAAATGCTCCAGTGTACATTTCCTAAAATCAAGCACACTCTCTTACGTGACCACAGGACAATGATCAAAATCAGGAAATTAACGTCCATCTACAGACTGTATTCGGATTTTACCAATTATCTTAACAGTGACCTTACCGCAAAGGAGAATCCTGGGTCACACATTGCCTTGAGTCCTCCCGGCTCCTTAGATTGCTTCATTCGGGATCAGTTCCCAGGCCTTCTTTGTCTTTCACGGACTTGTCACTTTTTAAGCCCACAGTCCAGTTATTTTATAGAACTTCTCTCAGTTTAGGTTTGTCTGATGTTTCCTCACGATTAGATTTATTGTACGAGTTTTGGACAGGAATACCACAGAAGTCATGCTGTGTCCTTCTCAGTGCATCATTTAGGAAATACACATGCCAATTTGTCCCATTACTGGTGATATTAATTAACTTTGATGACTTGGTAAAGGTGGTGCCAGGTATCTCCGCTATAGAGTTACTGTCTTTCCATCTGTAATTAATAATTGTCTGTAGGGCAATACTTTGAGACTATGTAAATATATTTCTCAGCAAATTTTCCTGTCCATTGATGATTCTGGTTGGAATCCGTTACTACTATGGTGTTGCCTAATGGGCATTTTTTAACTGCATCGTTCCTTCTCTTGTAAGCAGGACCTTTTCCTCATTTACTTATTTATTCACGTTACTATGGACTCATGCACTCTTCTTATTCAATAGGTTATAATCCATCAGTACTGTTACTTCTTTTGATGCTCAAATTGTCCCAGATTTGGCCAGTAGGAACTCCGTTCAAGCCAGAGAGCACCCACATTTAAATATAACATTGCACCTCGTCCCTCGACCTTGACCAGGAAGGGCGCCACGCCTGTGGGGAGCGGTCCCTGTCAGGTGGAGAATGAAGCCCTGCCCCAAATGCGGCAGCCCGGGGATGGGAGCGAAGGGCTTGGCAACACGGCGTCCAGGGATGTTGTGCAGGTCTACTGGGCAGGAACTCATTCACTAGTTGAGTACGTACTATGGGCTCAGTTCTTGAGAAACTCATAGAAAATGGGGATATAGATGACCAAGAATCACAATTATGCAGTTTCTAAAATCGAGAACTTTTGTACACCAAGAGGTAACAACAGTGGCTCTCTTAGAGATAAAAAGGTAGGGCAAATGGGCAATTTTGGGGGGGATTGTTTGAGTGCAGACAAAGCTGCCTCAATGCTTGGTTGAGCTAGGGCCCAATTTGCATATGAAACCCAAGGGCTTTGGAAGGTGAGGGACAGATGTCACAATCCCAGGGGGACTAAGGCCCAGAGGCAGGAAAGCATAACAAGGATTCTGAAGTCACGTTACACTATGTCAAGGGAAGGGAGCCTTGCCTGTCACCAGGGCGCCACACGAAGACCTCCTAGTTGGGGAGGTCCTAAGCCCTACGCAGTGAAATAAGGAAGGTGCTATGACGCAGGCTCACAGAGAAGATGGCTCTGGGAGTGAAGGCAGGCGCGTCAGGCGGTGGAACAGCAGGAGCAAAGGAAAGGGAGAATAAACTGTCCCCAAAGTCACCTCTTTTGGGTGGGGTTCCAATCACTGAACAACACGTTGCTTACATGTATGCTGGGCCCCTTCCAGTTGAGCATAGGCCCAGATGTCCAGACCAGGAATCGGTCAGATCTGGACTCAAATTCCAGTTCTTGTACTTCCTAGCTGGGTGACTTTGGAGAGTCACTTTACCTCTCTGAGCCTTCACTGATTTATTTCCTCAGCAAGTATTTACTGAAGGCTTACTATGCAGCCAGCACTGTTCTAGGCACAGGACATACAGCACTGGATGACACAGACAAGGTTCTACCCTCATGAAACTTACACTCTGGTTGGGGAAGACAGACACTAAATAGTGAGCAACTATATAGACAAGATGATCCCATATGGAGATATTAATGTAAAATGAAAATGAGTGTCAGAGGTGGGGGCTCCTTCAGCCAGGGTGGTCAGGAAAGGCCTCTCTGAGGCGGTGACATCTCAGCTGACCTGAAAGAAGAGAAAAAGCCAGGCAGTGAACAGAAGAGTACACAGCCAGTGCAAAGGCCCGGCAGCAGGAAGAAGCTTGGTGTGTCTGAAGAACAGTAAGAAGGTCACTGTGGCTGAAGAGCAGTAGGTGACAGGTGAGGAGTGGCAGGAGGTGAGGCCAGAGAGTCGGGTCGGGGCTGGATGGCTTAGGGCCCTGTGGCCAGGGGAAGGAGTACAGTTTATATTCTAAATGCAAAGGGAAGCCAGGGAGGGTGTTAAGCCAGAGACAGGGCGAGAGTGTGTGAAACACCTTGATCTTTGCTTTGAGAAGAACGTTGTCTGGTGTGAAGGAAGCCTTTAGGAGCATAGTGGGGAGGCTATCAGGAGGCTGCTGCCCTTGTCCAGGTGAGCTGATGGTGCCTGGACCAGGTGGTGGGACTGGGGGAGAGTAGACGTGGTCCAGTGCAGGGTGGCGTTGGAGGTAGAGCCAGCCTGACTCGATGGCAGAGGAAGAGCGAAGGAGGGGATGGCACGAGGCTCCCGAGTTTGGGCTTGAACAACTAAGACTGGGGTCCGGGAGCTGAGGCAGGGTTGATGATCAGGAGTCGGGTTTTGGAGGTGGAGTGTGTGCAGTCCCCATCCGGCACCCACGTGGAGGCGCGGAGTGGGCGCTCTGGATAGAGTCTGGAACTGAGAAGCTGTTAGCTCTGGAAATATACATTTGGGGCTCATGGGCATATAGATGGCATTTAAAACCACGGGACTGGATGAGATCATCAAGGCAGAGGGTGTAGGACGAAAGGAGAAGCGGCCCGGGACCGTCGTCTGTAAAATGAGCCAAATGACATCGCCACCCACGCGGCTCTCGCGATGTGTCTTGTGAACGCAAGCAGGCAGCGCTGCCTGGGCTGAGAACCTCGGCGGCGCCGAGGGGCGGGGCCCGCGTGGGGGCGGGGCTTGAGGGGCGGGGCTTGTCCGGGGCGGGGCCTTCCTGGGCGGGGCTGAGGAGCCGGCGGCCGCTCCCCGGCCGGGGGCGGCCGGAACGGTGACGTCACCGCATGACTGGGTTTTTATGAATGAAAGGAATCCTGTGAGTGAGTAATTCCGGGAAGCTCGCCTTACAACTCCGCGCGGCCCCCAGCGCCGCCCGCCCCACAACAAAACTCGCCGCAGCGCTCCCGGGAGGCGGCTCGGAGCGGCCGGCGGTCGGGACCGGAGGGGAGACGGGCCGCAGCGCGGGCCGGGACAGCAGCCGGACGGCAGCGGGAGCCGCGCGCGCCGAGCCGAGAGCGGGTGAGGGAGCGGGCCGGGCGCGGACGGGCGCGCGGGGCCGCGGCGGCAGGGTCGGCGCGTCCCGGGAGCCCCTGGGGCGGGGCGCCGGGGCCCGCTCCGTCCGGGCCCCCGTGTGCCGGTCGCCTGGACGGCTGGTGGGGGAGGAGTTGGGGGCAGAGGTCGGGGGCCCGAGACGGGGCCGAGCAGGCGTGGCGGGGTGCGGGGGTGACGGCGGCGCGGGGCGGGAAGGGGCCGCGCGGGCGGGGGGGCGTGCTCGTACGTGACTCCGGGGGAACGGCGCCTGGCCCGGCGCCCGCGGGCCGTGCGTGCGCCGTTTGTTTACGTCGGAGCGCGCGGGCGTGTGTCCCTGGCGAGAGCCCTGGGTCTCCTGCCCGGGCGTGCGCGCGCGGGGTCTTTCCAGGGGGAGAGCGAGCGAGTGTGAGTGTGAGAGTGTGTGTGTGTGTGTGTGTGTGTGAGAGAGAGTGTGTGTGTGTGTGTCCCTGTGTCCGTCTCCGCCCGCGCGCTTGTGTGAGTGTGAGTGTGTGTGTGTGCGTGCGTGCCCGCCCGCGCTCCCGGGCCGCTGAAGACCCCGGGGCCCGCGTACCAGCGGTGCGCCCCTCGGAGGCAGCGTGCCCGCGGGAGTAAACGCGGAATACGGCCCGAGCGAGGGGAGCGGCCCCGTTCGCGGTCACACGGCGTCCGGGAATTCTCGCCCGGGCTGTCCCCTTCCCACCAGCCGGCGGCGGCCGGGCCCTTGCTCTCCCTGGAGTTTCCCAGGGCCGCGGCCATGTGACCGCGGTGTTTGTCCCGCGCCCAGAGCGGGCGCCTGCAGGACCGGGTGGGGCGAAGTATCAAAGACCTGGCTGGGCTCCGGGGTGACGGAGGGGGCCAGCCCTCGTCCCAGCACTCTGGTGGGTCTGGCAACAAAGTGGGCTGGGGAAGGTGGACCCTCGGGACTCTCCTCGTCCCCAGGGTTGCCCATCCCTCAGTCTCGGGAGGAACAGGCAGGGCCAGAAGACCCACAGCAGAGGTGGGGGGTGGGAAGCATCCCAGGCTTCTCTCTTTGGTGGCCGCCCTGGCGGGGCTGGGTTCCGGAGGTTGTACCTGTTGGGTCCGGGAGGTTGAGACGGGGAGGATGGGGCGGAGCTGGTTTCTGCCCGCCTGGTGGTTTCAGTTCACCGGTGGGACTAGTCACACAGACCTGCTGATGGCCAGGCCTGAGGAGCGAGTGGAGGGCCTGGGCCAGCTTAGAGGACGCAGAGCCCTCCCCCTGGGCCAGGCATGGTCAGCAGGCGGTGGGCAGGGGGTCTTGATGTGTGAAGGGTTAATGGGTGAGGGGCGCGGCCCTGAGCTAGCCCACTTCACCATTGGCCCCGCAGAAAGCTTCCATTTAGCCCAGCAGCCGGAGGGATGGGCTGGGGGCCTGGGACGCTGGTACTACTCTGCCCGCTCCCTCCTCCCACCCACGGGGCGGCAGAATCATGGGGCGGGGGAGGCAGCTGAGCTCGCTGGGGTGAGGAACCAGATGATCTTTTAACTTTGACTCTCTGAGCCCTGGTGAGCTCTGCTGCCACAGCTGGGAGCCTCGGTGTCCCCATCTGCAGCAGGAACTAGGTGACATTCAGGGTGGCAGGATGGGGGTGGAATGGAGGAGGTATGGCAGCCTCTCCACACAGCCTATTTTCCAAGGGAACTCTGGGAGAGAAAGCAGAGCCAACAGCCCCAGGCTGAGGCCAGGGATGTCCAGGAATGTGTGAGGTTTGAGTAAGGGAGGTGGCCAGCAGGAGCACAGGAACCAGGCGGACCCATCCTCAGAGCAGGGCAGGAAACAGCCCTGAGTTGGGCCAGGGGTCAGGGGATGAGGGGAAGTGGCTGGTTGGCTCAGGCGCAGGTGGAAAGCTAGCACGGACATTTTTAACCTGCCATTGAATCACCCCTGGGCCTTCACTAGGGCCGGGGACCCAGCATGGGCTCCCTTGGCCCTTGTGCCTCCCTCAGTCCTGATGCTTTTGGCCTGCGTTGCCACTGAGCCTGTCATGGGCCAATTGCCAGGGATGAGACGGGGAACAAACCAGATCCAAAGCCTGCCCTCTGGGAGCTTACAGTCATGGAGGGGAGACAAAGTTGAAGCAAGAGCCACCAAACTCAATGCAAAACCACAGCTGAGATGGGTGGTATGAGGGGGAGGTCACTGTGGTTTGAAAGTATGGAACAGGGCTCTGACTTAGGGCAATCAAGGAAGGCTTCCTGGAGGAGGTGGCCAGTGAGCCAGGTTGTCAGATGGAGTGATGATCATCTGAAACCCATGAGGGCAGGGGCTGTGATTCATCTTTGGGCCGTCAGGGCCCAGCATGGAGCCTGGTACAAAGTAGGTGCTTCTTGGATGTTTACTGATTGAATGACTGAAAGAGCACTGGGTTCGAGTCCTGGAAGAGCTCGACAACTCATGGAGAAAAAGGCCTGGGAAACGCAGGGAAGCAAGAAGCCTGGGCACGGGCTGTAGGGTTCTTGAGGCAGTCTCCCAAAAGCGAGCAGATCCTTCAGGACCTGGGTGACACCCTCCCTCACACACAGACACAGACCCCGTGTGTCTCTTTGAGAAATGTGCAGACAGGAGAGTTCACTGTCTGTTACTCATTTGTTGTTGGTGTGAGGATCCTGGGAGAGGGAGGGGCGAGAATGTGGGGGAGGCCTGAAGGTGTGGGCTGGAGGGGGCGCTGGCATCGCAGGTTTTGGAAATGGGCTGAATACGGTCAGGTTTGTGGGTTTGATGATCCCTCTGACACCCTTGGGGGAGGATGGATGGTGGGGTCAGAGGTGGAGGCAGGCAAGACTGGAGGCCAGTGAGGAGGTGGCCGCGGTCAAAGTTCAGCTGAAAAAGAAGGCCCTGCCTGTGCAGGTGGAGCAGAGGGATGATCAAGGCTGATGGTCTCTGAGTATGTGGTCTCACACCTCTGCCTCCAGGAAGCCTTCACTGATTTCCTTTCCCTGCCTCCAGGGCCTCCGCTCTGCTGGTGGTCTCGGAGCTCCATTCCAGGCCAGAATCTGACACTCTAAACTCCGGAATTGTCAGTGCTAGAAGGCAGCTGAGGCTTGGTAGAGGTTTGGCAGGTTGGGAAACTGAGGCCCAGAGAGAGGAAGTGGCGTACCTGAAGTCACACAGCGCAGATGAGTAGGTGGCAGAACCAGAGCTGGGACCCCGCACTCCAGCTTCCCCGTGTGCTGCGTTCTCCCGGCTTTGCCCCGCTGCCAGCAGGGAGGAGGCGCCGCAGGCGCTGGCTGCCAAGGCCCAGGAAAACACATTTTTTCCCTGTGTCCTCACAGAGGAAGCGAAATGGCTCAGCAGCCGGAGAGGAGCCCGCGCTGGCGGGTGGGCCGTCTGCAGGATGTCTGCGCGCAGGGCGGGGGGTGGGGGCGATGGAGGAGGGCTTGTGGCTGCTGACTGGGCCAGGCAGCTGTTCCTCCCCTAGGCGCAGTTTGTTCTCCACGCCTCCAGAAGAATCTGCGGGCCTCCCGGGAAGAGGGAAGAAGCGGGGCTGAGGGGCCGGCGGACGTGTGGCGGCAGCGGGCACTGGAGAGCCGAGCTGGGGGTCAGGACTCCGGGGTTCCAGCCCGCCACCGCCGCTAAACAGCTGCTTGGCTGCCTCAGGCGCAGAACAAGGAGGTCGGGCCGGCCCGTGTCTCCAGCCCGAGGTCCCGCCTCCCGGGGCCGCCACAGCCCGGAGGAGGACCGGCCCCTTGGCGTGCAGCCCGCGGCACCGAAAGCCGGAGCTTATCAGAAAGTGCCCCCTTCCTGTGGCTTTCCCTCCGTGATTGCCGGGCTTGGCTGAGCTGGGACATTCCTGGGCAAGCATGGCTGCCTCCGCTGACATCAGGGTGCGGTTGAGGGGGCCGTGGCTAGAAGAGGAGGAGAAAGGGCAGAGGAGGGGAGAGCAAGTTCGAAGCCTCCCGAGGGCCTGAAAGTACTGAGAGGCCAGCCAGCTGAGAGGGTGGGCCTCCAGCCACCATGTAGAACAGGGGACGGCCACCGGTTTCCACCTCTCAGGCCTACTCTGGAGGGCTGTGTTGAGAAGGATTCTGAGGTTGTGTCCAAGCTCACCGGAAAACCGTGCTGTGTTGAGAAAGATTCAGGGGCTGTGTCCAACCTCATTGGGAAAACGTGCTGTGCTTGATGAGCGACGTCTGTGCTGGGAGTGGAGGGAGCGACCATGGCGAGGGAAGCCAGCCACCAGCCACCTCTGCTCTTTCTAAGCCTCTGGTCTTTTACGGACTGACTGTTACGATCATCCCCACTTTACAAGTGAGGAAACCGAGGCCCAGAGAGGAAAAGTAACTTGTCCGAGCAGCCAGGCTGTGCCTGCAAGGTTCTGCGGCAGCCACTGCACCCAGGGCTCAGCACCCAGGGCCCAGCTGGCTCTCGGGTAACCTGTGTAGGGAGGGGCTTCCCCTCTCCCATTGGGTCTCTCAGTGTCGCCCAGACTACCTGGGCGTGACCTAACACCCAGCTCCCTGAGCAGCTGGCAGGGGCCTGGACGGCGGTGACATGTGCATAGTCCCAGGCGACCTGGCACAGATCCTGGCACTGCAGAGCTGGGCGGCCTCGGAGACTGGCGAGTCCAGCCTCCCCTTCACAGGGGTGGGGAAATGGGGCCCAGAGAGGGTGCTCTGTGAGAGCCACACTGGGCAGAGGCACGTGGCTAAGTGTGGCCTCAGTCCTGGGCTCCACCCCCGTTAGCTGTGTGACCTTGAACTACTCTGTTGACTGCTCTGGGCAGGGTTGTCGGGAGGACCAGGGTGATGACAGTGTGAAAGGGATCAAGATTCAGTCCTGGACCTTGACAGGTGTTCAGAATTCCTCCCAATTTTGGGGGAGGCAGCCACTCCCCTGCTTGACTTGAGGCATGAGATAACCCTCTCTGAGCCTCTGCCTCTCCTTGGGTAAAGTGAGGAAGTGTGGCCAGGTGGACTTTAAGGGCCTTTCCTGTGTGCCCCTGGCCAGCTGGGAGATGCTGAGTGAAAGCGAGGTCACTATTGCTATAGGCCTGACCCCTCCTGGAGAGACTCTGCAATTCTGATAACCTCCCAGGTGCTCACTGACCTCTACCGTTTATACCACTTGGTTCCACCAAAACCCTGTGAGGCAGGTCTTGTTCTGATCCTACACATGGGAAAGTGGAGACCCAGAGAGGTGGACTGGCTTGCCCAGAGTCACACAGCCTGGAGAAAACAGAGATGAGACCCAAACCCAGGCTTGACTCTTAATCCAGTGCTCCTTTTCTTGTTTCCCATACCCCCCCGGGAGCCAAGCAGCATGAGGATGGAATGCCCCTGCGCCCTCCCCATCCTCCTGGTGTCCGTGTACCAGCCCTGCCATGTGGAAGCCAGGAGGCAGGTGGAAGGGAGGCAGGTTTGGAGACAGGGCCAGAGGCTATTCTCTTGATGGTATTCAGCTGCGCTCAGCTTGGCACTCAGTTCAGACACCGACAAGCGGGTGGCGGAGCATGGCAGAGACTCCACGCCTCCACACCTCACAGTGCCTGCTCCTTGCCAGGCCCCGTGCTGCACCTCAGCACCCAGAGCTGCCTTGGCCTGGTTCCTGCCTGTGGGGCTCCCTGTCTGGTGGGGAGACGACAAGGAAAGTGCCCATTACAACACAGGGGAGAAGGGCTGAGGTGGGCGGTGCCTAACGAGTCGCAGGGGTCAGGGAGGGCTGCCTGGAGGAGGAGATGTCTACACCCAGGGCAGAAGGATGAGTAGGAGTCTGCCAGATAAAGTCGAGGGAGAAGCGTCACAGGGTGTGGGGTGGCCCAGAAGCAGGGAAGCGTGGGGTGAGAGGAAGTGAAAGCGATTCCGTGTGGCTGGGATGCAGGACGGAGTAGGCAGTGATGGGAAATGAGTCTGGGGTGCCACGCGGGGGCCTGGACTCTGTCCCCAGGAGAGTGGAGAGCCGTGGAAGGTCTGCAGCTGGGTAGTGAGGTGGTCAGAGTCACCGGTGGGAAGCTCTCGGGTTGCTGTGCAGAGGCCTCCCGGGTTGCGCCGGCCCAGGGCCGTGTGCGTCGGGGGCAGTGCCATCTCGGAGGCCTGTACTGAAGGGGAGGATTGGTGGGCGTGCTGCATGAGGCTCTCCAGGGAGTGTCTGTGAGAGGGTAGGGTCCTGACTGGGGACTTTCTGGGCCCAGCCCCCCCAGCTACGCCACAGGAAGCCTGGGTGGCTCTGAAGACCCCCCAGCCCAAGGGCCAGGCTGGCTGCCTCTGCCAGGGAGCTCTTGAAGTGCCAGCTTCCCTTTTCTGTCCCATTCCTCGCTTCCCTCTGGGGTGTCGGACCCCCTGGCTGTGTGGGCTGGGAGGGGCCGGGGGTTCCTGGGAAGCCCTGGACTGTCCCCACCTCGGCCTGAGTCACACTGAGAATTCAACAGCCATTCCTTAAGCAAGCGGCATGTGCTCGGCACTGCTGTAAGCACTGGGGACACAGAGGGGACAAGACAGCATCTCGCTGTGACGAGCTGGCATCCTAATGGGAGACAGACCCTGAACAAATACATAAAATATGTGTGGGTAATAATAATTATATATAGTGAGAGGTGCTGCAGAGGAACACGAGGTAGGGAAGGGAGACGGTGTGTGCATGCACACACACGCGTGTGTGTGTGTATCAGGGGTTGGGATTCTAAATCGAGTGAAAACATGAGACTTGAAGAGAGACCTGAAGGAAGTGAGGACGCAAACATTGTGGCTGTCTAGGGGAAGAGAATGCCAGGCAGAGGGAACAGGCAGTGCAAAGGCCCTGGGGAAGAGCGTGTGTGGTGTTTGAGGGCAGCAAGGAGGCAGGTGTGGCTGGAGCCCAACGAGTGGGGGGAGCGAAGCGGGAGGGTCAGAGAGGCGTTGGCTGGGGCCACTCATGCAGTGGTTTGTGGGCCATTGTGATGACTGTGACTTCAGTCTGAGTGAGATGAGAGCCCTGGGAAAGTCCCAAGAGAGGAGTAACATCTGACTTAACGCAAGCCACCCTGTGTCACCCATGGGGACACTGAGGCACAGAGAGGTTAACTGATCTGCCAGAATCCCACAGCTAGTGAGTGGGACAACCTCTGAAAGGCCCCAGTGTGTCTGGTGCCAAAGTCCACATCCTTTCCGTTTCTCCCCAGTGTCTCTGAGAGACACCTGGGGTCTGCGGATGTGTCATGCTGAGCTGAGGCTGCGCGGCCGGCCCCACAGACAGCTCAGGGAACCAGGGTCTGGAGCACTTTACACCCTGCTGCTCTCCGTCAAACAGGGCTTTGCTAATGAGCACCGAGAGGATGCTGCGCCTCGGACCTCGAAGCATCTTCCTGCCCTCTTCTCCTTGCTCCTCACCACCAGCCCCTCCCCAGGGGGCTGAGCGGATGGGAAACAGCCTAACAGTGAGCGGGGAGAATCAGATCAGCCGGGACTCGGGGGAGCCATGGGACAAAGGCCCCGTCCCAGCCCAGAGCAATGACCTTGGGCCCCTAGAGTGTCCCCTCCATGTCTCCCCGGTGCCAAGCACACGTCTAGCAAACGGTAGATGCTCAGCGTGTATTTGTTGAATGAACGTGGGGCTTTCAGGCCGGTGGGGGGCACTGATGGCCAGCGGGCCCCTCCTCCATCGAGGGGTGGCTGTCCTGTTTGCCCAGGGCAGCCCCAGGGACTGGAAGCGTTCCCAACACCCGGTGTGGATGAGGGATGCTTGGGCGGTGCGGGGGGACCGCTTACGCTGTATTTTGATGGGGTGCTGGTTGGACTCTGTGAAAAGTCCTTGACTAGCACACATATGTTTTGTGCACTTTTCTGTATGTAGATTTTACTTAAATGAAAAGTTAAAAAAAAATCAAATACACATGTCCGGGCCCCCATGTGGAAGAATGTCTAGGGAGAGGGGACCCAGTCATTTGGTGTGTATTTATTGAGCACCTTCTGTGTGCCAGGCACTGATTTAGGCACATGGATAGAGTGGAAGGTGGAGGAGGGGTGGCAGGGAAGGACAGACCATAAATAAGTAACCACACATAAATAAGTGCAGAAGAGGTGACTGTTGTGAGGGTTAGTAAATGAGGTTATGTGATATGACACAAGGACTTTGAAGAGGTCACACTGGGCAAAGACCTAAATGATGAAGAGTCGCTATGGGAAGATAACAGGGAAGAGAATAGCAAGTGCAAAGGCCCTGAGGCTAGAATGAGCCAGTCAAGGAGACCACTGTGGCTGGACCACTGGGACAGAGGAAAGTGATATGAATGAGTTCCAAGACAGCAGCGGCCTTGAATGCCAAGCTAGTGAGTTTGGATTTTATTCTAAGTGGAAAAAAAGTGACCTTGGCCTTCTCTCTCTCCTAGGTCTCAGTCCAGAGGGCAAACATGTCTGTGGATCCCTTATCCAGCAAAGCCCTGAAGGTGAGGTGGCAGCCCCTGTGGTCCCCAGTCCTCCCCCTCCCTCCCTCCCTGGCCAGGCTGAGCTCCCCATCCCAGCTGCCCTTTCACTTCCTGGAATCCCCAAGCAGGCATCAGGCGTTCAGGAGACCACGGGAGGGGGCCTGGGCTGGGAACCCGGAGGCCTGGGCTCTGACCCTAGGCTGTGTGCCCCGGGGAAGGTCACTTCCCTCCAGGACCTGCTTCCCAGTCGGGACAGTGCCCATTGGGCTGTAGGATTTCAGAGGTGCTCTCCTGGGTCTCTCTAGCTGAGACCAGGCCGGGTCGCTGGGTTAGAATTCGGGCTTGGCCCTGGGGTGGCTCCTTTTGTGTTCAGAACCTGGTTTGGCCCAGTTTCCCCTTTCCGGATTCCTGCCCCCTTCGGGGTCTTGGAGCAAGTCCGGTGCCTATGGCGGTGAAGGCGGAGCACTAGGGGTGGAGGGGGAGCGGTCCCCAGCGCCCGCTGTGCACCGGGCCCGGGGCTCAGGGCTCAGAGCCCAGGGCCCACAGGCAAGGGTGCGACCCCGGGCCTCAGTTTCCCCATGCACCCAACGTGCCTCCGGCAGATCAAGCGCGAGCTGAGCGAGAACACGCCGCACCTGTCGGACGAAGCGCTGATGGGGTTGTCGGTGCGCGAGCTGAACCGGCACCTGCGCGGGCTGTCGGCCGAGGAGGTGACGCGGCTCAAGCAGCGGCGCCGCACGCTCAAGAACCGCGGCTACGCGGCCAGCTGCCGCGTGAAGCGCGTGTGCCAGAAGGAGGAGCTGCAGAAGCAGAAGTCGGAGCTGGAGCGCGAGGTGGACAAGCTGGCGCGCGAGAACGCCGCCATGCGCCTGGAGCTCGACGCGCTGCGCGGCAAGTGCGAGGCGCTGCAGGGCTTCGCGCGCTCGGTGGCCGCGGCCCGCGGGCCCGCCGCGCTCGTGGCGCCCGCCAGCGTCATCACCATCGTCAAATCGGCCCCGGGCCCGGCTCCCGGCCCCGCCCCCGGGCCCGCCCCTGGCCCCGCCCCCGCCGCCTGCTCCTAGTGCCCGCCGCGCCCCGCCCCGGCCGCGCCCCACGCCCCGACCACGCCCCTCCGGCCCCAGCGCCCCTCCCAAAGTGCCTGAGCGCAGTCTCTGTCCCCAGCTGCCATTTCTCTGCAGCCACCAGCCCCTGTGGTGATGACACATTCCCTCCCCAGAGCCAGTCTTCCTCGTGCCGCCCCTGAAACTAGGACCTGATGGCCCCGGGGAGGGGTAACTTTGGTGAGATAGGAGGTAGGGTAGGGGCGGGGGTCTGGGGTCTCCCTAGGCTGAAAGTTCAGCCTTCTTAGATTGGCGGATGGGATACAGAGCGGATTAGAGAAGGGCTGTCGGGGAGAAGAGGGCCACCCCTCGTCTTGTAAACTGCTCAGATTGTGCCAGTGGCCCTCCCCAGCCTCCCAGGATTCAGGACTAGGACTGGCCTTGCATGTGTCTTGTGGGGCTGACTCGCTGGAAAGCTGATGCTCCCACCTGTGCTTTGGGCCTGGGGGTGCCTGGCCTTCCAAAGCTGGGATAGTCGTTAGAAATGGCTTAGTGAAACCCAGTTAACAGATGGGGAAACAGGCCTCCAGCGGATGTGACAGTGCCCAAGGCCACATATCTTTAGCGGTTAAACTGGAATTCAAAGCCAGATCTTCCCACTGCTGCCTGGAGATTCTAGCTGTGGTTGTCAGGGGGACGGTGGACAGGGACCGAGAAAGTGGTGGAAGGGCCTCCCTGGCTGGGAGACAGCTGTGAGTCAGGGGAAGAGAAGTAGAGGGAGAGAGAAGGTGACGCAGACAGAACAGAGGGAAGGAGATGGCCTGGTCAACCCTGGGCTCTCCCTGCGGCCAGGGAGCTGGCCAGCCAACAAAAAAGGGACCAAGGAGGTGACCACTGTGGCAGGTGGGGAGATGAGAAGACAGATCCTGGGGTCCTGCAGCCTGGGGTGGGGTCCTTAAAAGGAAAGGGTCCCACCTCTCCCCCTGTGAGTGTCCACTGTGGGGTAAGGGCTGACCACTGCCATTGATTGCTGTTCTCCTGGGAAGCCCAGCCCCAGCCCCTCCCCCCACGCTGTAGACAGTTGCCCTCCCGCTGTTTATTTATTACACGAATCTAAATTATTCTCCCCAGCCAGAGGCATAGCGCCCACTCCCTGGAAAGTGGTGTGACCCTCAGCTGGACTTTATATTTTATATCTGCAAATAAATCACATTTTATCTTATATTTAGGGAAAGCCGGATGGCAAAAACAACCAAAAAATGTTTAAAAAAAATTGCCCGGCCCCCAGAATTTATTTATTTTCTGACTTACAGTAAGCGAGTTATGCGCCTTCTGTATTTTGTAGACTTTCTGAATAAAGTCAAGTTTTCTTTTTCCACAGTGAGGAAGTGTGTGTCCTGGGCTGGTTTTTTTTGGAGGGGGAGTTCCGAATGAGAGGCCTCCGATGGGGTTCTGCTTTCAATCCCGGCCAGGGCCCTCTGCTGATGGAGTTTGCGGGTGAGGAACTATGCGCCCTCACTAGCCTGTGGACGCGGACTCGGGAGTGGGGTGGAGGCCAGAACATCTGTCCTTCCATCTGGTTGCCTGGAGCCAAGGAGCCTCCCTGGGGAATGCAAAGCCAGGAGGACAATGAAATGCAGGGTTCAATCCCTGGGCGTCCCTTCGGCAAATAAACAGTCCCGCCCAGAGAGGAAAATTCCCGGATTTAAGAGTAATCTTTCTAGCACTTTCACATGGAGCTCTGATTTTCTACAGCCAAGTAGAAAATATTTTCCCCACGTTCCGGAAGGCACAGGGAGGGGGGAGAGACGCGGCTTCCTCAGTCCCAGCCTGCAGGCCTAAAACGCAACCCCGCGTCTCACCCGAGGCCCTGAACTCAGCGCACTGTCAACCAGATCTGCCAGCCCTTCTGGGGCACCCTGAGGGGTGGGTTGGGGTCTCCTGTGGTCTGCAGGGCAAAAACTGGGGTTTGAGTCCAGGTGTCTTTTTCTAGCTGTGTGACTTTTGATGACTTATTTAGCTTCTTGCAGCCTCAGTTTACCCATCTGTAAGTGAAGGGACCCTAAGGGCGTAGGTGTGACAAGCATTGGGAACCTGAGGGGCCGCACGCTTTAACACGCAGAGGAAACGTTTCCACAGTAAACGTGGCACACGGCTGTGAGGACGATTTCTGTGGCTGGGTTGGAGAGATGAGGCTGGGAGACAGACATGTCTGTGGAGGGTGCTGGATTCGAAGGCTGGGGAAGGGCCAGCCCACATGGTCGGCGTGGTCCACAGGCCTTTCTCCCCCATCTCAGGTTGAGGCCCACGATCCTGATGCCGAGATGCTGAGCTCAGGCCTGCGGAAAGGGCCGCGTGGAGGTTAGAGGCCAGCGGGAAGTTCCCCCGCCCCTGACGCATTCCTGAGCGCCCTGTCATCATCATCGCAGGCCAGGCCCCAGGAAGGCATGCAGAGGGCAGGAAGGTGCCCTGCGCCACCAGACACCTGACCTGGGGAGCAGGCGCAGTGCCCATGGCCCAGCTCCAGACCTCGGTGCCTCTAGGGGAGGGACCTAGGGTCCCAGGGTGGAGGGTGGGCTCAGGGAGGCAGGAAGGTAGCCTGGAAGCAGAGGGTCCTGGGACATCTCTTGAGCCCCTGGGAGACACCTGCAGGAATGGGGCTGTCAGTGTGTGCACCCATCCAGCTGGTTGATGAACGGGAATGAGGCTCCACCCACGGCGCACAGCAGCCCTGGGGGGTGGGGGGGGTGGGCCCCTGTGACCCAGGCTGCCACTGTGTCCCACTGGCTGGGGGAGGGGGAGACACTTCGTCCAGTGGGGGCTTGGACCCGAATTTTAATCTCTTAACAATGTGAATCCCCCGTCGCCTACACATTACACACTGGAAGTTAGAGGGTTTCTTGACACCCCTGCCCATGACCACTAAACCCACCCTCGAAAATAACGGGGGCGGGGAAGAGGAAAGAACGAACCTCACCCACAGGCAGATTTCAGTACAATCTATATTATCTCATATATATATTTCTTTCTCACTTTATTTGCTCACTTCTGTCACGCATTTAAAATGTCACAGAGACCAAAATAGAGCGGCTTTCTGGTGGAACTCATGGCAGTCATACACGAGATACAAAACTAGGGGACTCTGTCTTCTTGTACATCATACAATTAATTTTTCAAGTATTTTTATGTACAAAGAGCTACTCTATCAGGGGAAAAAATTAAAAAAAAAAAAGTAGGCTACGCATCCTAGGAAGGAGGGGTGGACTGGTCAGCACGCGTCCCCAGCCCGTCTCCCCAGGGGTCGCTAGCTCCCTGCCACTGGGCCCCTCCTCCCCCAAGCCCCACACTAGTGGGCAGGTGCCGGGGCGGGTGACGACCAAGGGGCAGCAGCACACTTTGGCCTGGAAGGAGAATCAGAGAAACAGATTCATGAAAGCAAACAGTGGGCCTGGGGACAGAGGTCCTCAGACAGCCTGCACCAACCTGCGGCCTTCCTGGGCAGCTTGGTACCAGCTGGCCAAGCCCACCAGACAGGGGCCCGAGCGCTGTCCATGAGTACCCCCCATGCAGGCCTCTGTGTCCCCTGGGGGCTGGCTTTGTCAAGGGAAGGCCCGGGAAGACTACTGGGATGGAACCCCCGACCCTGATGGCACAGTCCCGAGGGATGCTCATTCCCGGGGCGACCAAAAGGAAAGATTCCACGGTGAAGTTCCGCTGCCACAGGCCAGGGCCCTCCTCCCTCACCCACCTGCTCCCCTAGGCTGCAGCAGCCCAAACCCAAGTGCTATCTGGGTGTCAAGCGGCGGAGGCTCTGCCTGCGGGAGCGCGCACCACGTCCTGTGGGAGGCTCTTCCTAGGACAGTGGCTGGTGTGAGCCCAGCCTGCGGGGGCTCCAGCCCTGGGAGGCTCCAGGTACACGGCTGTGGAGGGGGGTGAGGGGAGGGGACTGGCGGTCCTGGCCACCCCTGAGGCCTCTCCAAGGGCACTTGGCCCAGCACTGCAGGATCCTCTGAGTGCCAGCAGCTTAACAGGGAGCCCCCAGGAGTGTCTGGGACAGACTGAGGGCCTAAGGAGGGGAAGCTTTCCTATGTGACTAAGGCACAGAAGAGATGGGCCAGGGGGCCAGATGAGGCAGGGCACAGGCCCTGTGTGGATATGAGGCCAGCGAGAGGGGTCTGGGACCACTCCTCCCACCTCCCAGTGTCCCGCTGCATGCCCCATCCCTCCATCCCCCACCCCCTACAGCAGGCCTGTGTTCCTCCGGAAGCTGGTCTGAAATGAGGAGACTCAGACCTTTACCCTGAAATGGGAGGGAGACGCTCCAGGGAGAGACCAGGACCCATCGGGGTTCCGATCACTCAGCCTGGGACCGAGGGTTCAAAGCCCCCAACCCTTTGAGCAGCCAGGAAGCAAGGCCTCTGCCCAAAATGCTATCAAGGAAGACCCCAGGTGAGAGGGCAGTGTGGGCTGCTGGCTGTCCTTCGCAGGCAGGAGGAAGGGGCGTGAGGCGGCAGAAGGTGTGGCCACAGGGGACACCCAGGGGCCCAGTGACCCTTGCTTCGAGAGGCCGCATCAACAGAAGTGGGGCCCAGAGCACCCGAGCACCCTTCCTAGGTAGGACCCGTGGCTCCTGGTGTCTGGCTCTGATCCTTGCAGCATGCCAGGCAGGCCTGCGTCAGGAGGAGTCCACAGAGAGCATTCGCGCGCCCTCCGCCCTCCTCCTGCCTGCAGTGAGGCTAATCTAGCGTCAGACAAGGGTGGACGGGGGAGAGCAGGCAGGCAAGAGCCCAGGTCCGATATTGCACGGAGTTTGGGGGTGAAGCCATAAGTCTCATTGGGGAGGGGTGGGGAGGCGACCTGGGGGAGGGGGCTGAGAAGGCTGCAGCCGCTGGTCCACAACACAAGCTTCTGGGCCTGGGCATGGCTGGTCCCGACATGCTGCCACCACACGATGAGCCGCAGGGGCATGGGAGTCGCTCCCAGTGTCCTCTGTCTGTCACCCGGGCAGTGCAGGCGTGGCCGTGTATAAATATTCCTGAAGGCTCGTAGGTGAACCTGGGCTGTCCCCTGGGCAGACAGCATCTGGCTGTTCCTCTGGAAGCGATATGTGAGTGTTTCTGGTCCAATAAATTAAAGGGCAATGCCAAAGCTGCGCCAGCCTGCCTCCTGGCCCGAACCTGAGGCTGGAGGGGGGCACACCCTGCCCTGGGCCAAGGCGCCAATCCTTCCCCACCAGCAGCTGCGCCTAGAACTCGTCATCAGAGCTGAGCAAGAGAGTCTTCTCATTGTCACGGGCGCCACTGAGGCTGTGGGAGCGCGAGAGGCCGTGGGCGCCGCCGCGCCAGGTGGGCCCGGGCTCTAGGGTGGACTGCTGTGTGTACTGCTGGTAGGCGGGCGAGAAGTTGTGGATGGCATCCTGCACGATGTCGTGCGGGTTCATGGTCTCCTTGAGGCTGCTGGAGATGCTCTTCATGGGGGCGCAGCGGCCTGCAGGGCAGGAGGAAGGAGGCGGGGGTGAGGGAGCTGGGACAGTGGGGTGCCCCTAGTCCTGAGACCGGCCCCCGACCCCAAGGCTGTGTCATCCAACCACCCCCTCTTGGGACAGGGAACAAGGTCCCACATATTAGAAGAGACAAACAGAAATGGCTTCTTTGGCTGGGGTACGGAGCAGAGAGCACCCCTAAAGGGAGCAGACAAAAGCAGCCCACCAGCCCGGCAGGTGGGAAGGGACCAGGGGTGAGGCTGGCACTCTGCAGGCAACGAGTCCAGAATACCCTAGGGGGGTTAGCCCATGCCCCTCTCACCTGCGGGAGAGCTCCCCTTCCCTCTGTGGAGGGGATCAGGGACCCGCTCCATCAGGACAGGCTGCCAGGAGCCTGGACCCACAGTGGCCCAGCCGTCTTCCCCGGCTCCCCTCTGAGAGGGTGGAGCCGTCTGCCCTGCTGCGCTTCTTAATTCCCTCTCTAACAACTGATGTATCGTCCCCACGGGCTGGGGAGAGAAATGGCCCAGGCCACCATCCCAGATGTAAGGGAGGAGCCCAACTCTGTACCCAGGTCTTCACACTCAACTCCTGTGCTCTTTCTACCATCCCGTTCTCTGCCATAAACAGCTAAATGCTCCTCCTTTCCCCTTAACTGCGCCTCCAGATGGAGCAGGGCATATTCCAGAACAAGGAGGGACCAGAACAGAAACAGGCAAGCTCTATGGAGGGCGGGCCTCAGCAGGCAGCTGCCCTGGGATCGGCCACCCAGGGGTGCCTGTAGGGGAGGAGATGGGGACACAAAAGAAGGAGCTAGGGAGAGAGGCATGCCGGTGACAGTGACCAGGACTGACGTGCAGGACAGACGTGCGGACCAAGAGCAGAACCTACCGTAAGGGCCATACGTTGGCACTGCCCGCGGCCAAACCCGGGGCAAAAGCAGGGGGGAGGGGAGAGAAGCCAGAGAAATAGAGAAGACAAAAGACAGCTGAGTGAACACCATGGGCTCTCCGCCGAGGCCGGCACACCACACCGTCACCCTGCCCGCCCACATCCCAGGCCCACCCAGCACCCAGGCAGCCCCCGCTGCCCCTTCGGGGCCTGGGGGGGAACATCCACCTGGGATGACTCCTCCCGCAGTGCTCAGCTTTCTCTTGCGGATGGAGATAACAAACACTAGACACCCAGAATGGTGGTGGGAGTTCAACCTCGGCACCTAAGGCAGGCCCCGCCCCCAATCCTCTTCAGGCTGGGCTGGAACTGCCAAGCCTCTGCCTCCTGCTTTACAAGCCTCGCGACACTTCACAGACGGCGGAATCAGGATGAGGGGTTACTTGTACACTCCACACAGTAGAGCCCGCTTTGCACCCAAGCCTGACTTGAGGGTGAGAGGGGCTGGCACTGGCCCAGGACCGGCACGGGGGTGCATCCTGCCCTTCCCTGGCAAGGCTGGGCTGGGGTCCCGCTAAAGCTGTATTTCTGGCCATGCTACTTCCTGCTGGGGGTGGATGTGTCTGGGGGCGCAGGTGGGAGGACAGCCTGGCAGCGGCTGCGAACCTCCGCAGAGCCACGTGCAGAAATGCTTCCTTAGGCCCTTTTAAACCTCAAGTGCACATAAAGGGCTCTCTACCACGGCCCCAGGCCAAGGGGACCTTCCCAAGGGAGCAGGCTCTGTCAGGACCAGGTCCAAGGGACATCATCCTTGATACTGGGTGGGTTGTTGGCCAGATCCTTCCAATGCAGCCCTGGCAGGCAGGTGAGACTCCAGCTGGCAACGGTGAGCCGTGGCCAGCACAGCACCTGGCACTGGGTAGGTGTGCAATTAAAAACAGAAAAAGCGCCTACAGCCCTAGCCAGCAAGTGTGTTGGGAGAGCACAGTTGGGGGCACAAGAGTCGCGGGGCCTGGAGGACAATTCAGTGCGCACCTCCAGCAACCACGCAGGCATTTGCAGGCCTCTGCCCAACCAGGGAGAGGAAAGGCTGCGGGAGGCAGGGGCCGAGCAGCGCTGATGCGGGCTGGTGCCTCAGCACCCCGCTTGGCACGCCACTCCTGGGCCTGCAGGGCACAGTGGTGGGCCTGCGGAAGTGGGCTTCTTGCCTCCACCCACATGACAAGGGAGCTGGCAGCAGCCCAACCCCTGGGCGGGTGTCAGACCAGGAGCGTCCCTTCCCAGGCCCTCGGCCGCCTCACTGGGTGGGTGATTTCAGACTCCCCAGCCTCCTTTTCCTGCCCCCTGGAACATCCCCTCTCCACCCAGCAGCAGCCAGAGGCAGTGCCCGGGTGCGGGGAGCTCTAATACCACATGGTGCCGGGCGCAGGCCAGGCCAGGTACCCAGAGCCTGAGGACGGAGCTGGCACGTGGGCACTCTGAAGACTCTCCAGGGCATTCTAATGTCAAACTGGGGCTGCCACATCTGTTCTAACAAAGACGGAGATGAGCAGGTGTAAAAAGAAAGCTGTTAAAAGCTATTACCCTCTGAGTCTGTTTCTTAGAAGGAATCAGGTTTTAAAAAAAAAGAACTTCAGAGACAGAGGACTATAGGACAAAATGAGTAACGTGTTCGACGTCAGGAGCTGGTAGGAACCTGTGTATTCTAGGGTCTCCGTCCTGACTTCCCATGTGGGTACTGTGCTATTGCACCTCGGGGTCTCCATACCCCAGCCCGGCTGCCAGAGACAGGTGGGCCTAGCTTCCAGGACACGCCCCCTGCCTGGCAACGGGGTGGAGGAGCCTCAACCTCTGGCTCCTTTGCCACATGTAAAACTGGGGATCCCTGAGCCATCAAAACCTGTGGGAGACCGGGAGGCAGGAGGGGCCCGGGCGTGGGGCCGCGGAGCGTTGCTCCCGCCCGGGGGCATCTCCACAACTGGGCTCATACCTTGTGCATCCAGCCTCTTGTCAGCATAGACCTTGTAAGTGAAGGCGTGCCGCAGGGCCAGAGCTGCGAAGAACATCTCCACGCAGATGATGAAGTCCTGGTAGCCGGCAGCCACGGTGCCCTCGCCCACGGACACGCGGGCCGAGTGGATCTTGGGGATGGCCCCGCACTTCTCCAGGATGGCCAGGAGCATGCCTAGAAGGGTAGGCGTGGGTGTCTGGTCCCAGAATGGACCCCCTTCCTCCATGCAGCCCCCCAAATGCCACACCCCCCAGGGAGGACGGAAGCAGGGTCCACAGCTGCTCCGGTGAGGCAGGGATGCCAAGAGTAAGCTGAGACTTCCAGGAAACCCCACTCCCCAAGCTCCTCGCTGGCCACCAACACTGAGACATCGTCAATTATGCGGGGCCCCTGGGATCCCCCATCCATGAAGTGGCCCCACCAAAGCTCCCCACGGCTCCTGTGAAAGGCCCCTGAGGGCCCAGACTTCACACCCAGCGGGCGCCCAGTGGACGGAGGCCCCTCTGAGCTCTAGGCCAGGATCGCCCAGGGGATGGTGAGCAGGAGGAAGGGGACACGGCTCAGGGGACAGGGCGGCACACAAGCCTCACAGGGGCTGGGAGGAGGCTTACCCTGCCAGAAGGAGAGGAAGATGACGGACTTGACCATGAAGAACTTGAGGACGGGGCTGTAGGCGCTGAGCAGCTCCCGCGTGGCGAAGTAGAAGAGGAAGAGGGCGTAGAGCGCCAGGCTGACGGAGATGTTGTAGATGATGGTCACGTAGAGGTAGCCGCTGGTGACACTGAGGGGACAGGGGAGCATTCTCCGGCTTGAACAGACCCTTCTGAGGGACAAGGGGCCTCCCTCCCTCCTCTGCCCTGCCCGTATGCCAAGCCCCATGGCTCTCAGTAGTGCACTGAAGAGAGGCGATTGAAGGGGTCCACACATCGGGCGAGGGGTGCAAGGGTGTGCGCTGCGGCCCAGGTCAGCCCTCCTGCCTCGGCTTCACCACAGACGTGTCTGAGCCACCCGCCTGCAACTCTGGTGCCCACACTCCTAGCGCAGGACACAGGCGTGGAAGCCAGTTGGGGGCTCAGCCTGACAGTCAGGCGGCAGGTGTCTGAGCGACACGACGCTCAGTTTTGCTCTTTTCACTTGAGCCGAGTTACATCCCCCAGTGAGGCTCAGTCTGCTCACCCACCTGGGTGGGGCCATTGTGTGGGCACAGGGAGTGCACGGGAAGCATCTGCAAGGACAGGGCCTGGACACCTGGTCACTTTCACTAGCCCCCAAAATGAAGAGTGTGTGACACTTTACACGGGAGAGGCCTTCCACCTGGGAACTCACGATGGGCCTCTCGGGGGCTCTGACCCTCTCGCTCCCTGCCTTGGGAGTGGTCACTGTCCCTTCTTGGCCCATCCCCAGGGCACCACTGCCTGTATATGAAGATGACAAAAGCTGAGGGTTCGCTTCTGTGCTGAATCAGGGCCAAGTGTGAAGATGGCCGCTGCCAGGCTCGCGCCTCGCCACTCAGGGGTTCAGGGAGGTGGGAGGAAGGCAGGGCATCAGCCTCTGCAGGGCCAGCCACCCCTGCACTGACATGACCCCCACACACCGCTCAGGGGACCCGCTGCTTACTCAAAGTCACCATCCCGGTACTTGCCGAAGGCCTGGAGGACCACGGTGCTGACAGCCATGAGCGGCTTCACCACGCAGAACTGCAGGGTGGCCTGTGAGGGGAAGAAGGCCAAGAGGCAAGGATGAGCACAGAACCCGTGTAACAAGCACCTCCTCTGGCCAGCTGGGCCTGTGCTGGACGCCGGCGGACAGCAGAGGAGAGCCCAATGCCCTGCCCCGAGGGGACTGCTGTCTGGAGGGGGAGGCAGATGATGTGAGACGTGACAGTGCAACGTAGCTGTGTGAGAAGACAGAGAAGGAGGAAAGGATGACCGATGAGGGGATGGAGGAGCAGGAGACAGAAGACATCATCAGAGAGGGCTTCTCGGAGGAGGCATCAGCAGGAACGCGCCAGACAGACAAGGGGGCAGGCTTCTCTTCCAGGCAGGGGGAGCAGCTCACACCAAGGCCCAGATGTGGAGAGCGGACAAGTGCGACGGATAAGTGCCGGTAAAGGGCTGCAGCAGGAAGGTGGCTGGGGGACGGGCAAGGCCGGGGCCTTGCTCCAGAGAGTGGCCACTGGGGGAGCAGGGGTGGGCAAGGGCCTCCTGTCATCTTCCTCATCCACCCCCGAGTCCGGCTCCTTGCTGCACAGCCTGGGCCTGCATTCAGGGTTCGTGTCGCTGTGGGTCTTACTGGGGTAGAGAGGACCTACAGAGCATGGAATAGGAAGCAGCCCAAAGCACAGGGTCTGCAGTCCCGACATCTGAGTGTCAATTCTGGCTTCACCAACTACCAGCTGTGAAGCTCGAGTGAGGGGTCCCTTAGCCTCACTGGTAAATGAATGTGACCAGCCCCCAGGCCACAGGGTCGCAGTGTGGAGACTGCAGAACAGGACAGCACAATGTCTTCTCAGAGGTCACCCACCTCTGTGCTTTCAGTAAAGGGCTCTGCTGGCCTGCCCAGCCACTGACAGCATTCCGAGCCAGGTCTCCACAGTGCCCGTGGAGGCCCCAGTAAACTCCAGGGGTACCCACGGTGCCCAGGAAATCACTAGAATCCCATTCTCTGGAAATCAAGTTAACCAAAGCCATGAGGCTCCTTTTGTGGGAGTGGGAATATTAAAAGGCTAAGCAAGTGTGGCTCCAAATAGGGCAGGGACCCTGGAGCAGAGAAAGCAGCCTGCTGAGCCCAAGTTTCTGCCCTGCCCGGGGATCGGAGTGCAGGGCAGGCCCAGCAGCCTGAGTTGTGGGGCTGCCGCAAGGAGAAGATCACGTGATAGTGGCTAGAGGGGTGATGCTGTTGTCAGCAAACCCCACAAACCACCCCACCTGGAGGAAGTGGGACCAGCACTGTTTGGGGCAAAGAAGGAGCAATCTGCACTGAGTGAGCGCTAAGAGCCTGCCAAGAGGCTGGTGCTGTCCCGGGCCAGCTCACTTGGTGCTCAGAACAGCCCATGATGTACGTACTGTCGTCATCCACATGACAGATGAGGAAACTGAGGCACGGAGAAGTTGAAGTGGCAGAAGAGGCATCAGAGCCTAAGTCAGAAAGTCCCAGAGCCTTCACTCCACCGCAGCCCTGGATCGGGCCTGAAATCGGTCAGCGGCTCCCAGGCCAGGCTGGACCTCCGAATCACCTGGCGAGCTCTGAACTCGCTCCAGGTCCCAGACCTTCTCGTCAGGCCAGCGTGGGGGTGGCTGACCCAAGAATCTCTGCTTCTAACAAGCCTCCAGGAGATTCAGACCCTGGGCTGGTCCTGGGTTTCTCAGGCCTCTTTCTGTGTCTGCTGGAGAAGCTCCCGGGCTCTCTCACTGTGGGAAGGGGTGAAGTTTCTTTTGTTCCCCTTCCTTTCACTACTTCTCCTGCCACCACCAGCAGCAAGAGCAGAACATCTGAGCCCACAGGGCTGGGGAATCATTTCTAACAAGGCAACTACGCAAGCTAGTGATCATGGGATCAAAACTTTGTACACAATATAATCATCAAAGGCCGTGAGTCACAGCTGGGCCCTGGGCGGCTGAGCTGGTAAACAATGGCTCTGAAAGGCCCCACCCACCCTGCACCAGGACAGTAACTCTTTCCCTGGAGGCCCAGTGGAGAGATTCTGAATTCAGGAACACCTGAGGCAAGGAAGATCTGGAAGCAGAACTGGAGACCTGGTATGGCCAGGTGGGTGCTCTGTGGGTGTGCCTGTGCTGCGGGCACTGGCCCTGTGCAGACGGGAGCAGTGGTGATTGCCTGTGCGTTTCACTTCCTCTTGTGACTATCCTGGCGACCTGGAGGGGCCGACAGAGGCCCTGTGGAGCCCCAGAGACTAGGTCGGGTCACACAGGCCGGGGGTGGCACGACTCTGCCTCCCTGAAGAGACAGTGGGCTCGGGGCCGGGCTATATTAAGTACTTCACACCATTACCTCACCCGCTCCTTAAACCATCCCTTGAGATAAGTATCATCACGCCCATTTTACAGAAGAGGAAATGCAGACTCAGAGAGGTTACGTAACTTAGCCAAGGTCACAGAGTCAGAGAAGAAGCTGGAAATCAAACTCAGATGGTCAGGCACCAGGCCCATGCACTTAACCACGACACCCCACTGCCTCCACCCAGGACACCATGGACCACAGGGAGGGTAGCCAAGGAAACCGGAAGCTGCTGGACTGCCAACTAGGAAAAGGGGGACGAGACCAGAGACTACACAGGCCTGTCTGGACATGTGTCTGTAATGCAGAAACCCTCCTGGCCTCTGGCCACAGCTGATGAGAAGTTTTCAAACTGAGATTCCAGAATCCCCATGCACTTCCTCTCATTCTCACGCACACCAAGACATGGTCAAAGCGAGCAAGAGTGCCCAGGGCTGCATCAGACCCTCCCAGGACACCTGTGCTGCCCCTCTGAGCACACCCTGCTAATGCATGTGCATCCCTAACAGCTTGGGGAGTGGCTGCTGGGGCTGGGGATGCCTTGCAGGAAACAGGAACTCCACAGAGGGGGCCCAGGGCAGCCTACGGCAGGATCATCCCTGTCCGACACCCGCCTCAGCTACTTTGTCCACCAGGGCAGCACAGCCCCCACAGGGGCTGCTCCAGGGCACAGCCCCTGGCTCCTGGGCCCTGGCTGCAACTCTTGACTGGGGCAGCTGCTGGGGGCACACACCTGCTTGCAGAACCGCAGGAATCCGATGGAGTAAGTCTTTCCCCAGAGGCAGCACGTGCCATATACACAGCTGGACCTGGAAGAGACAAGCAGAGATGGGGCTGGTGAGCAGAGCCAGGACTCGGGAAAGGCGGGGCTGAGGAAGGTGCACATCCGGGGTAGATCAGGGTGGGGCGGGAATGGCAGAGATCCTGGGCAGCCTTTGCCCGAGGCCAAGCACAGGGGAGACACAGGAGAGCAAGTGCAACTGTGGTAGGGTGTGAGGGAGCAGGGCCGCACCAGCCTAGGGAGGACAAACTGACTGGAAAAGCACTAAATGTGAAAACTGCAAGAGGGAGAAACAGGTGAACAGGGACAGGAAGAGAGAGGAGAAAGCGCTAGAGAGGCCCTCCCGAGTCCAGTGAACGGCCTCGCTCAGGAAGTGCAGGAGAGGCCCAGCAGGTCAAGGTCACAGGCAGATGCGGTCTGTGTGTCCAACTGACGCCAGGACAGCTACCAGAATGTCAGGCCCAGGAAGCAGGGTGTTGAGGGGGGCTCCAGAGGGACTTCATACTCACTCAATGGGCTTCCCTCTGATCTCTGACATGATGGAACTTTCTCCCCCGAGGTATTCATAGCACAGGCTCAGGAAATTATAGATGACCAAGGCTGTGAAAAGAGTGTCCAGAGAAAACCACCCAAATCAACAGGATGGGTAAACAGATGGCAGATTCTAAACCGCAAAGAAAGTGGAAGAACCAAAGTCACAGGCAGCAACGGAGGGCCCTCACGGACACGAGAACCCGCACGGTGACCGGTGTGTAATCAACATCAGGCAGACCTGCACTGCGCTGCCGGGGGCCTGTGCGCACGAGGGCTGCGTACATAACCCTGCTGCGCACGCTGTAAAGAACAGCCAAGAAGCGATTGCCACAAACTTCAGGATCGTGTGGGGAGGCTGGAGCGGGGCGACAGGATGGCCAGGCTGGGGGCTTGGGGGGGCTGGCAGTGTGCACGTTCTGGGGTTCAACAGGGATTGGCTTTTACAATTATTTATTAACTTTAAGCACTTTTTTGTTTGTGTGAGATGGATCACAATTTCACAACAAAACAACAATACAACATTCTTCAGAGGGAGAAATTTTAAGCCAGAATGAGATAGCAGAACCTTTACCCATCCCACAACTTGTGCCATCTCAGCACGCACAGCACTGTAAGCCGTAACGAAAACTACGAGGGGGACAAAATGTAGCACAAATGTCTTGGGAAGCTGGGTCAGCTCCTTGTGAATCAGGAAACAGCTCGAGATCACCATAAAGATGCAAAATTTGCAACAGTGACCAATAGCATAGAAGTATGTTGTAAGTGCTCTAAATACAGCAATACATTGTAATCAGTCTCCTGGTCAGAGGACTTCTGCTGGGTCAGCAAAATGAAGGTGGTTGCCTGCAGCTGCTAGAGGCTAGATGTGCCAGAGGGAGGAGGGAGAGAGAGTGGAGGGGAGTAACAGAGCACAGCAGAGGACACCACAAAGGGAAGGGTGAAGGAGAAAGCAGAGGCCAAGAGCATGGGAACCAGAAAGGCATCCAGTGAAGGAGTGAGGCCAAGGGAGGGTCAGAAGAGGGTCAGGAGACAGGAAGGTCAAGGGAGGCACCCACAGCCCTGCAGCCAGAGGGTTCTTCCTCATCTGATGCTGCCACCCCCCTGCAGCATCGAGGCTCCGGGGCGCAGCCCCTTGGCTCGGCACTCCAGCTCTTTCCACAGGTAACGGGGTCCCTGCCCACCCCTCACACCTCCTTCCAGCAGGCTGCCACCTTCCATGCTTTCGCTCTGGCCGATCCCACTGCCTGGGAACCCACAGCACCTACCACACGGAGCTGTGACTGTCCCTCTACAGACGGAAAGCAGAGGGTTTGCAACGTGGGTCTTCTACCCGTTAGCTGCGAGCCTCTCTGTGCCTCAGCTTCCTCCTCTGTTCAATGGGGATAACAGGAACAACTACCTTGACAGGCAGTTGTGAGGGTCAAGGACATATGCAAAGTGCTCAGAAGAGTGGCCAGCGCTTGGTGGCACTGAGTGTTGGCTGTCACAGCCATTACTGTTTATCTGACTGCCTTCCTCAGGGACTTGTGTCCCTTGATGGGGCTGAGGACTCTGAGCGCTGCCTGCCTGGCATAGAGGCAGCTCGGGATGTTTGGTGACTGCAGGAATCTCTGATGAACCCTAGATCACTCTTCACTGACAAGAACTTTGGGGCATTTGAGAGTAAGGGGGCATCAAGCCAAATCTGATGTCAGCCTGCTAATAACCTTTGTCCAAAACCACACAAGGCCAAGTAGAATAAATGAGTCCATTCCAAGCTGGGTCCAGCTATATTGTGGTCAGTGGTATTTTCCAAAGATGGCTACATCCTGTGACAGTGACACTCCTCCGCTGAGAGGTGGGGTCTCGCTCCCTGCCTTTGCATCTGGGTGGAGCAGGGTGACTACAGCAGAAGTGATGCTTCCTGACATCTGATGTTGGGGTTAGAAAAGGGCTCTTTCCTCTGTCTGCTTCTCTCTTGAGATGCTTACTCTCGGATGTAGCCACCATGCTGCAAGGAAGCTCAAGCTAGTCCATGTGGAGAGACCACATGGAGAGGCTAATGTGGGAGGAACTGAGCCCCCAGCTGACACCAGCACCAACGGCCAGACACCTGAGTGAACCAGCGTCAGATGACTCCTCCCCCAGCCTTCCGGTTCCCCAGCTAAGACTCAGACATCACACAGCAGGGACACACTATCCCCACTGTGCCCTGTCCAAACTCCTGACCCGCACTATCCATGAACAAAATAAACGGTTGTCTCTTCTGGGGTAGTTATTCACGTAGTCACAGGAGGTAGAATACATCTAAAACCACTCCTGGAGTTCCCAGGGCATGCCGTGACCCCTCACCTCTCCCCACAGTGGGACATTCTGGTCCCTCTGCTAACTCCCAGAGGTAGACCCAGCGAGAGGCTACCTCCTCCTTGGTGGCCTCCCGTCCTGCTGCCATGCTCATTTCACACACCACCATCCTCTGCTGATTGGGTTGACCCTCCCAGTACAAAGGGCAGCACAAAGTAGCAGGAAAGCCATGGACCCGGGAGCCAGATGGTCTGGGTGTGGACTGTGGCTCCACCACTTAGCAGCTATGTGGCCTCAGGCCAGTTTCGTAAGTACTCCCTGCCTCGGTTTCTCCTGTGTAAGTGGGGATAACAAGAGCTCCCTCCTTGTGGGGCTGCTGTGAGGACGGGGAGAGTGTGACGCCTTAGAAAAGGCTGAGCTCAGAGCGAGCAGTCCACGGTGCCTTCCCTGTTGTTCTTTCAAGACTGTAAACTCCTAGCAGGAAGGAAGTGAGGGCAACCCCCAACAACTACCAGAGGGCCGGGCACTAATACACAGCCGGTCCACACAGGAGGAATGAGTGGGCAGACGTGGGCCAGAACTCCAGGTGAGGCTCAGGGAGGCAGAGGAGGCAGGTGCGGCCTACACTCAGTCTCACACTCTCCAAGGTGATCAGACTTCCGGTCGCCAAAGACAAAACCCTCCAGAAGAGCCAGAGTGGCCTGAAGCTCAACAGCCTCCTCCTTCTAGAACCGCCCTCCCAAGCTAGGCCACCTTGCAATCCACTCCTGGGAAGAGCTTGGAGCCTGAGCTCATATCCTTTCCCGTGTCGCAATGTACGTCAGCATCCCCCTGAATGACGTGGTGCAGCTGTCTATCCAGCTCTGCAGTCAACTGGTCAGAACCGTCAAATTTCATCCATCTCCCGCAGTTCAAGATTCTTGGCCTTTTAACGGAGCCATGGGGCCAGGAAGTCTGTAAAATGCCAATTTGCTGACGATTTCCTTTAAGGGATCATTAGTGAGGCAATAACGCATTCTCAGAGAAGAGAGAGAAGACAGAATCTCCTCAAGATGACTCAACCAGCCCACACAGGACCCGCTGGCCACCTGGACAAATCAAGGCCCTCCAAGGAAATTAGAGCCTTGCAAAACGTCACCCAACACCCCAGCAATGGTGCTCAAAACGGACGCCTCAACACACACCCCAGGAACGAACACAAAGATACGCTGGCCCTGGACACAGGAGAACAGAAACGCTGCATGGACATCAGCAGTGGGCCTCTCAGCCAGCAGCCTTGTCACCTGACCACCTTCTAACCACACTTCCGGTCCCCTGGAGAGGCCCCAGAGATACAAAATGACATTATGGCACTAAATATTCACTACAGACTTTGTGCCAGGCTCTGGGGACACATAAGTGATGAGGAGACCAAAGAGCAGGCCCTCCAGACTAGAGGGGAGCATCCAGTATGAGGGGAAGGATGGTCGCTCTCTCTCCCCAACCCTAGACAATTAGGTACCTGCAACTTTCTGTTCCATTCTAAATACCAAATCTTAGATGAACTAGAGACAAATGCACACAATCAGGAGAGAAGGACCAGGATGGGGATGAAATGAGGATCGTACTGGAGCCTTGAGGCCTGGAGAGAAGACATCAGGGGTCACTCTCTTCAGGTAAGTGACAGCCACCTTGTCCAGACAGTCAGACAGGATCCACTCGTCCCAGGGGTGGATCCTAGGAGTTCAGCTTAATGTAAGAAACACTTTCTAACAGGCAGTCTTCAGAGATGGATGGTCGTGGGCTCTCTGCCAGTGGAAGCATGTGATGAGAGGCTGGCAGCCCGTGAGAGACAATATAAAGGCATTTCCAAGCAGCTGCAACTTTAGCGTTCCTTCTGACCCTGAGACTCAAGGCTTCCTTTTCTCACCGGCAGCTTCTCTAACCTGGAGCTGCCTGGACAGGAAGCTGTAGCCCAAGAGACTGCTCTCCATCCAACCTCCAGCACAGCCCCAAGGGCCCCCCAGGGCTTCCAGACAGGATCCACTAAGAAGAGCACTCCAGCCTCTCTGCCAGCAGCTCCCTGAGCCAGGATCATCATGGGGTCCCCAGTAGAGGTGAGGTGGGCACGTCCGTCTGTTCGTTCAACCAGTTCTCGCTGGACACCTGTCGTGTGCCACGCGCTGTGTGCAGAGCCTCAATGACCACTCCAAACTCACCTCCTCTGCCCACCTTCAGCACCTAGACCCGGCCTCGCGGCCTAGCCTTCTTTCTATACACAGAAATGCTCTGGTTATCTGGAAAGACTTAGGGCACTCCGTGTTTCACATAACTTGTAAATGATCTCGGAAAACTTAATTTTGACTACTTTGGAGAGAAATCTTCTCTGCTCAGTAATGAGGGGCCTCAGAACATTCTTTCCCCCTTTTCCAGTGACCGGTGATCATCATGGAAATAGTGGACACAATGTGCTACAACCAGGGTGGGCAGGAACCCGCCCCTACCAATGACCCCAGACCTTGAGCCAAGTTGCCCCACTGGCAGTTCCCTCCTCCCTCGGGGCTTCTCTGTCCAGTGCTGAGCCTGCTTATTGCTGCTTCCCGCCACCCAGAACGCTGTTTCTGATCTCTCTTTTCTACTGGTTTCTTCTGAATATCTTTTTTTATTCTGACTGATGGAGCTCTTCTAATTCCTGGCTCTGTCAGAGCTGTGGCTATCAGGGCCACAACGAGCCAGTGAGTCCTTCTGGCAGCACACTGGCCTTTGGTCTGTGGTGGCCCCGTGTCTGTGGCCCTCGGCTGGGT